TTAGTACGCTTATTTAATGTTGCCTTGGCACACATCATTTTTTTTTCTTGCCTCTTTTCCCTCTTCCTTCCTTCCTTCAGCATTCCCCCCCCCCTCCTTTGCCTAAACTTTCTTCTGTCTTTCCTTCCTTGCGTTTGTCTGTCCCTCTTTCTATCTTCCTTTATGCCTTTTTGCTTTTCCTTCCTGCCTGCTTTCCTTTTCTTTTCCTTTTTTATCTTCCCTACTTTTTCCTTTCTTTCCAAATTTCCTCTTCTTTTCCCTTTCCCCCCTCTTCCTTCCATATTTCCTTCCTTTTCTTCCATTGATCTTTTTCCCTTCCTACTTTTTTGATATCTGTCCTTCCTTCCTTCCTTCCTTTCTTTCTTTCTTTCTTTCTTTCTTTCTTTCTTTCTTTCTTTCTTTCTTTCTTTCTTCCTTCCTTCCTTCCTTCCTTCCTTCCTTCCTTCCTTCCTTCCTTCCTTCCTTCCTTCCTTCCTTCCTTCCTTCCTTCCTTCCTTCCTTCCTTCCTTCCTTCCTTCCTTCCTACCTACACTCTTTCCTTGTTTCCTGCTTCCTTTGTTCCTTCCCTCCCATTTTCTCTTCTTTTCCCCTGTTCATTACCTTCGTTCACTACCTCCAACTTCCTTACTACTCACTTTTCCTCTTTTCCTTCCTGTCCCTTCTTCCTTCCATCTTTCCTTCCTTTCTTCCATAAATATATTTTCTTTCTACATTTGTTACATCTGTTTTTCCTTCCTTCTTTCCTTCCTTCCTCCCTCCTTCCTTCAGTCTCTCCATCTTTCCTTGTTTCCCATTTCCTTTGTTCCTTCTCTCCCATTTTCTCTTCTTTTCCCTTATTTTATTTTCCTTCCATCTTTCTTTCCATCTGTATTTGTCATTTCCTTTCTTTCTTCTGTCCTTCCTTCTCAGGTCCTTTATAGGTTTTTGCTTTTCCTTCCTACCTGCCTTTCTTCTCTTCTCCCTTTTTTACCTCCCCCGCTTTTTCTTTTCTTTCCCACTTTTCCTTTCTGTTCCATTTCCCCGCTCTTCCTTCCATCTTTCCTTAATTTTCTTCCATATATTTTTCTCTACTTTTGTTACACTTGTCCTTCCTTCCTTCCATCCTTCCTTCCTTCCTTCCTTCTTTCCCTCTTCCTTTGTTCCTTCCCTCCCACTTTCTCTTCTTTTCCCGTTTCATTTGCCAGCCATCTTTCTTTCCATCTGTATTTTTCATTTTCTTTCTTCTGTCCATCCTTCTCAATTTACTTTTCTTATTCACCCGTTTCTCTCTTCATATCACTATGCCAAATCTCTCACACACTTTATGTAGTTCTACCTCTGTATAACAAGGTTCCCCAGGACCTTCTGTGAGAAATTACACATGAAGTGGTCTATGATCTGTAAACGCAATGACCTGAATTCTCGAGTTCTGGTGACAGGAGATCATTGTGCACACATGTAGCGATGCCTGACTCCTCTCGGATCTGCTCAGCGTTGTGCCTCTCCATCAGGGGCTCGGGCTCAGGCTCAGCTCTGGACATTTACAAATCTCCTCCATACTTGGCTAAATGGAAACCATCCATCAGAGTTGACAGAAAGTAAACAAAGCCCCAACATTAGCTGGGTGGACGCTTTTGATGATGTCATCCTCCTCTCTAAGCCTCTGGAGGTGGGTGACCTAATGTGTTTCATTGGGAAGGAAGGGAGAACACAGTGCAAGATCTGTTGATGAAGTAAGCGTGCAAACCAACCAGGAACTCTAGTACAGAACTCTAACGCAAGAAAAGTGTGTCCAAAATGTCCAAAAAGTCCAAGACTGTGAGCAAGGATCATTGATTTGAGCCATGGCAGATCTGTGTGTTAATAAGAGAAGTGCATTGATGAGGATTGATCAGTGGGAGTGAGTGGCAGCTGGGATTCAAGCCCCACGAGGCAGAGTTCGGATTATTCTTGTCCTGATTAGGATTAAGGCCGAGCAGCGTAATGTCCTCTAATTCTGACTCTTGTCCGTGGTTTTTCTATTGTTCTGTTGGTAGTGATAAGCAGCATAGAATTTGAGAGTCTGAGAAGAGGGATTTGGGGGGAGAGATGGAGAAAATGGGAGAGAGTGAAAGAGACTGAGAAAGAGGATAAGAGTAGGATCAAAAGAAAAAAGAAGAGTGAAGGAAAATGGTGAGGTGTGTTAAGAGGATCAGAGATATCAGACATGCAGAGAAAGAGTCTGTCCAGTCGTGACATCGTAAGATCTTCTCCTTTGTCTCTCTCCAATTTCCTCTGAAAGGGACTCTATGTCCAGTTCAAGCGATTTATGGCTGTCATGTAAACCATAACTGGGGAAAATTTGAAAATGTGAGTGGTTTTACTTGCGCTCACAGGAAGCTAGGATGTTGTTATGTGATTAAAATTCACATTGGTTGGGTGTTATATGTGGGTGGTTAGACCTCACACCCAAATCTCTATGAATTTCTGTTCCCAATTATATTTTAATTTTGCTGCTGTTACCAGACCACTGAAGGTGATTGTTTGTGACATTTGAGATTTGGAAAAAAAATAGCTTTTGTGGCTCTGATTAATGCAGAGGCCATATCAATGTCACTATAATCACTGTTACAGAATGCTCCGTTTTTATGGGAAAACCACGTGGATCACCTGAACCCGAACGGTTATTTTAGCTCATTTAAACCCAATGGTCTGAACTGTCACAGGAGCATGAAGACCATATGATAGGCAGGACCTTTAAAATAGACCTTTCACTCCTTCATTTATGTGGATTTATTCCATTCGCAAGGGATTCTTTCATAAATTGGAATTAGCAGCATTGAGGCAGTGATCTGAATATGATGACATGAATTATTGATTCCCTGACAGCTGCTTGCAAATCTAGCCTGACATTTGGAAAGAAGACGGCATGGAATTATAGCCAGAAAATAATGAAGGCCATTTGTGTCGAGACGAGAGAGGGAGAGCAAAGCAAACGTCTTTTTAGACTTATTAATATTCATTAATACCTCCTGTCAGAGCGCCAATGAAACAATTCATTGCTCACGTTTACTGTATTACGCTCTTTATGATTTATTGATGTGTGTTCGAAGGAGCTGGGTGGTTATGAAGACCCTCAGCGAAATCTGATTGCTCACACAAAACCAGATATTTGTCAGCGAGACACAAAGACTTCAGAGTTTATATCCAGTATTGTTTTTGTTTTTCTTCTTGAACTTACACGAACTAAAAAAATTGCAATAAACTCTTTCTGCACATATATATTTTAATCTTTCTTATGGAAATTTGTTAGGTCACACTACCTGTGTTCTGTCTTGAATTAAATGTTTCTGTTTCTATTAGTCTCATTTGTAGGTTGCCTTGGCTTCTAAATGAACAAATTTAAATGATTTGTTTGTTCTCCATTGGAGTTAAAATGATGCACAATTTCAGATAATAAAACCAGGCATAAAGTTAGGCAGAGAATTCCCTAAAAAATGGCTAACTTGTATATGCTGTACCTCCTACATCTGAAAACGTAATCCACCGCCTCCTTTCCCTTCAGATATTTGGCTTTAGATATTTATAATCTTGGTTCTGGATCCTCTGTAACCTGGCTTGAGTTTGGCTCTATAGTTCCTCATGGCAGAACAGAGCCGATCATCTCACTGGTTCCTGTTCATCAACCTCTGCTGATGTCACTTTAGATGAATTGATCCACATTTAGCCAGCTGGTCTGTTGTGGAATTACACAATTAATTCTGAGACCCTGGGAATGTGTGTGTAATGTCAGCAGATATGGGTTGTGATCTCATTCCCTTCAGTGTGTTTGCCTGTTTTTGCCACAGTCCTCCGGCAACAGTAAAACACATTACAGTCCAGTTGTAAAGACAGCAGCAAAATCAAACACAGGTCTGATAACACACATTTTATTAGAGCTGTTTGCAGGAATTAACTTGACAAGCCATGAGCTTCGCTTTCACATTTCATACACTGAGATGTGCTTGTGTTTTGGTGTGTATCGGTGTATGTGTTTTGAGTTATGTGTGCTTTTATATTCCATATTCCATTTGGCGTGTTTCCCATTGTCTCTCGGATTTTGCTTGCCCCGCTGGAAAACAGGTGTGTGTGTGTGTGTGTGTGTGTGTGTGTTTGCTGCTTGGGTCACTGTGTGCGTGTGTGCATCTCTGTGTATCCATGTGCATATTCCCTGCATGTTTTCCAGAGAATTGTTTTTATGACCCTGTCAGTGCATTGAGGCAATGATGAAGGGATTGTATAATGACTCGAAATGAAATTGGGGGATTGGCAAATGAATGGATGGATGTTGCTGAGTGTAAGAATTTATAAATGATACTCTTAACATCCGCCTTGACAATGACCTTGGGGAATTTGCATGCAAGTATAGCACCTTTTACAGGGATCAGCGATTTGCTGGTTAGCATAACCCAGTTAGCATGATCTGGTTAGCATGATCTGGTTAGCCCCTGCTGGTAGATGCTGTAACTACACCATCTGGTTCTAAAAGGCAACTTTCTCTATTATATGCAATTTTTTTTTTTGCAAGCAAGCAAGCAACAAATTGTAATTATATACCTTTTCGTGTTTTAAGTTTGGTCTAGTGAACTCCAGGTGTTGTTTTTATCAGTGAGATGATTGCGTTACACATCCTTACACTCTTACTTTTCTTTCCTACAGTGGCCACATTGAACTTGCGTTTCATTGTTGCACGAGTGTCTCCTCGGCTATGTTACGAGCGTGAGCTTCCATCACTTACTGTTCGTAAAGGCCACAAATAGCCCCTTAATCATGTGTAATATAAACCTCATTAGTTAGAAAGGCTGTAGTTCCTGGAGGCTCAGTTCTCCACTAGCGTATTATGTTCTCAAGTGGTTCCTCATGTTGGCTAATAAGGTCTACAGCCATCTAACCTGTTCTAGCCTCAGGTTATAAGTGATGCCATTGTTCAGGCTTGTATTGAATACTTCTGTAAGCTCCAGGTTTTGTTGTGACGGGTCTTTGCTGTGTGTTTCTCTCTCCAGCCTGTCCTCCGGGCACGTATAAGATGTCTTCTCGACAGCAGGAGTGTTTCCCGTGTCCAGCGAACAGCAAGTCTGAGGAAGAAGGCTCTGTGGTGTGTGTGTGTGAGGACGATCACTTCAGGACCCCGCTGGACCCTCCGTCCGCACCCTGCACTCGTAAGACCGCTTCTGTCTGCATGACAATCCCATCATGTCCCATCTCTTCTGGAATAAAATGTACATTTGTTTTTTTAGAATTTTTTTCTTCGTTGGAATAGTGCAAAACTTGGTGAAGGTTTTGGCACTTGCTGTGTGAACACACAAAAACGAGCGCATTGGAAAAGAATGAGAGAGAGTTTCTTCTAGTGGAAGCGTGTGGAACTGCAGCCGAACACACTCTCACTGAACGCTCGTTTACTGAGAGATCAGACTCACATGCAGAACACAACTTGTTTATAGTTATAGCTTTGATTTTCACACATTTCTAGAGTAACACATGTTTTTGAAAATATAAATTACTATATACTACATAGTATTATTATATACCGTGTGTAATTACTTGTTTGAAAATTCCCATAACCAGTCCCATTGATTCTTGGTTTAATGTTGTTTACCTTTTGCAACTTCTTGACATTTTAATTTGTTAGTTTTAATCTTAAAGTCCCTGTAGTCAATCATTTTATCCCTTAAAACTCATCTTTGATCACCAAAATTACATATTTAAATGTTTTTTCAATCCTTTAAATATCTTGAATGTAACTTGACACCATTGCCTCATTTAGTATGCGCGGTTCTATGAATATGCAAATGAGCCCCGCCTCCACTCACTCACTCAGCTCAGAGATCCACTGGTTGACGATCACACGTTGATCTGATTGGTTACAAGGTCGTTTGTGACGTCAGAAACACCAGCGATTTCAAACCGTGTTTTTGAGACTGTCTTTGGTTCACTGCAGTTTTAAGGAGGAAATACTCAGCAATGCTGTCGACTTATGAACTTACACATGGTGTGTCTTAAAGCGTATTAAAAACACCACAGACACATAAACAACATTAAAAGCTGGATTTACACCACTTTAAAAGCTTCACTACAATCAGCAGTATTGGAAAGTAACATCTCCCAGATTGGCTGATTAAAGTGAATATTGTGAACAAAAAATGTTAAATTTAATGTTATATATATATATATATATATATATATATATATATATATTATATTTATATATATTTCATATGCTTTAATTTAAAGCACGCAACTTTTTGCTGGTAAAATATTTTCTCCTATTCTGCCATAATGTGCTAGAGAATTATTATCCATTATTGTGACAATAAACCTTTAATATGTGGATTTTACTGTAAAGAATCCTGGCACAGCCGCATCAGCTCAGCCAATGGTGTGAGTTTAGGGCGGGGCTAATGTGTGCTGACCAATGAAAAACCATATCCAGAAGAATCAATCTTTTTTGCAGTTCTGTTTAGTGGCTTTAGTGCCACAGAAATCACACACTTAACCTTTCAATTCTTGTGTGACCAGCGGTTTATTCTGGGCTGAATGAGTCTCTGACTGCTTATGACTTTTATTTACACCGTTAATTACTGTATTGATTAGGCTGCCGGTATATAAGGGAGAGAAAGAGCCTGTGATAGTGTTAATTATAGGATAGATTCTACAGTCCCTCTTATGAGCACATGCCTACAGTTTATTACTGAGAGAGAGATAGAGAGAGAGATAGAGAGAGATAGAGAAAGAGAGGAATGTCTATAATGCAGAAAGACTCTGTAAATTGACAGAATTGAAAGGAGACATGAAGTGGAATTTTTTTGCCTGTGTGTTTGAGTGTGTGTTTGAGTGTGTGTTCGTGTTTTTGAGTGTGTGTTTGTGTGTTTGAGTGTGTGTGTGTGTGTGTGTGTGTGTGTGTGTGTGTGTGTGTGTGTGTGTGTGTGTGTGTGTGTGTGTGTGTGTGTGTGTGTGTGTGTGTGTGTGTGTGTGTGTGTGTGTGTGTGTGTGTGTGTGTGTGTGTGTGAGTGTGTGTGTGTGTGAGAGAGAGTGAATGTGTTTGTGTGAGTGTGTGTGTGAGAGAGAGAGTGTGTGTGTGTGTGTGAGAGAGAGAGTGCGTGTGTGTGTGTGTGTGTGTGTGTGTGTGAGAGAGAGTGTGTGTGTGTGTGTGTGTGAGAGAGAGAGAGAGAGCGTGTGAGTGTGTGTGTGAGAGAGAGAGAGTGCGAGTGCGTGCGTGTGTGTGTGTGTGAGAGAGAGAGAGTGTGTGTGTGTGTGAGAGAGTGCAAGTGTGTGCATGCGTGTGTGTGTGTGTGGATATATCCTGACTGCAGCTGTTCCCAGCGCTCATGGCCACACGTGGACCCCGTTGCATAATCCTTCAGAGCCTTTAATAAAACAATGCTTCTTGCACTTAAATTATTCTGTACACACACACACACTCACACACACACACTCACGCTTCAGCGTTTGTTACACTTTCATTATTATCTGCTGCATTTATGAGACACAAGTCTAGATCTCAAAATGAAAACTAAACACATGCATTCACCAGAAATTATTATTATTTATTTATTTTACTATTCTTGTTTCATTAAAGGTGCTGTATGTAAGTGTTTCACCCTACTAAAGCATAACAATACCATAATATGTTTGCAGATCTTTAGGAAACATGTTAAGTTCACATACTCGTATCTCTGAGAAACACTACACTACAGCCAGTTCTTTTACTGTGAAATGTGAGTTTTGTTGGAATGTGTGTTTGTTTTGGTCTGTGTGACTCCGCCCACTGCCAGTCCAGCCAATAGTGTTTCCACACCCCGGGTTGTCAGTTGATGGAAAACACCGCGTATTGCAGCCAGCAAACAATCTGGGTCAGAGATTGCAGATTCTACCCGACCTAAAAGCCTCGGTATCCATCTAAAAATCTCTATGAACGAGAGTATATTAAAACACGGATAAATCAACTCATCAACTTTCAGTTTGTAAGTCTCCTCGGCTTTTGTTTAAAATTGAGCTCGTTCCTGTTGTGTGTCAAACTGGAAACCCGCGTGAGGGTCGAGTCTGAGGAGGCGGGGAAACATCCATCTCCCATGGTTTGGATTTGGACTGCAGTGCCGATTTCCACCACTAGCTGTCCTTCTTACAGACTGCACCTTTAATATATATTAGTAATTTTAGTGAGTAGTATTTATGGAAAATGGTTCAGATAAGTTTGTTTTTTTTTAAACCGTGAGCGAGAGTGTGTGTGTGTGTGTGTGTGTGTGAGCGAGTGTGCGAGTGACTGAGTGATTGACTGAGTGTGAGAGAGTGAGTGAGTGACTGATTGAGTGACTGAGTGACTGAGTGAGTGAGTGAGTGAGTGACTGAGTGAGTGTGTGAGTGAGTGAGTGAGTGAGTGACTGAGTGACTGAGTGACTGAGTGACTGACTGAGTGACTGAGTGAGGGACTGACTGAGTGACTGAGTGAGTGAGTGACTGAGTGACTGAGTGACTGAGTGAGTGAGGGACTGAGTGAGTGAGTGAGTGAGTGAGCAAAAAGGGAGTGAGTGACTGACTGAGTGAGTGACTGAGTGAGTGAGTGAGTGACTGACTGAGTGACTGAGCGAGGGACTGACTGAGTGACTGAGTGAGTGAGTGACTGAGTGACTGAGTGACTGAGTGAGTGAGGGACTGAGTGAGTGAGTGAGTGAGTGAGTGAGCAAAAAGGGAGTGAGTGACTGACTGAGTGAGTGAGTGAGTGACTGATTGAGTGACTGAGTGACTGAGTGAGTGAGTGACTGAGTGACTGAGTGAGTGAGTGAGCGAGGGACTGAGTGAGTGAGTGAGTGACTGATTGAGTGACTGAGTGACTGAGTGAGTGACTGAGTGAGTGAGTGAGTGAGTGAGTGAGTGAGCGAGGGACTGACTGAGTGACTGAGTGAGTGAGTGAGTGAGTGAGTGAGTGAGTGAGTGAGTGAGTGAGTGAGTGAGTGACTGAGTGAGTGAGTGAGCGAGGGACTGACTGAGTGAGTGAGTGACTGAGTGACTGAGTGAGTGAGTGAGTGAGTGAGCGAGGGACTGAGTGAGGGAGCGAGGGACTGAGCGAGGGACTGACTGGGTGAGTGAGTGAGTGACTGACTGAGTGAGTGAGTGAGTGAGTGAGTGAGTGAGTGAGTGAGTGAGTGCCTGAGTGAGTGACTGAGTGAGTGCCTGAGTGAGTGAGTGAGTGAGTGAGTGACTGAGTGAGTGACTGAGTGAGTGCCTGAGTGAGTGCCTGAGTGAGTAAGTGAGTGAGTGAGTGAGTGACTGAGTGACTGAGTGAGTGACTGAGTGAGTGACTGAGTGACTGAGTGAGTGAGTGCCTGAGTGAGTGAGTGAGTGAGTGACTGAGTGAGTGACTGAGTGAGTGCCTGAGTGAGTGAGTGAGTGAGTGAGTGACTGAGTGAGTGCCTGAGTGAGTGCCTGAGTGAGTAAGTGAGTGAGTGAGTGAGTGACTGAGTGACTGAGTGACTGACTGACTGAGTGAGTGAGTGCCTGAGTGAGTGCCTGAGTGAGTGAGTGAGTGAGTGACTGAGTGAGTGCCTGAGTGAGTGCCTGAGTGAGTGCCTGAGTGAGTAAGTGAGTGAGTGAGTGAGTGAGTGAGTGAGTGAGTGACTGAGTGAGTGCCTGAGTGAGTGAGTGAGTGAGTGACTGAGTGAGTGCCTGAGTGAGTGCCTGAGTGAGTAAGTGAGTGAGTGAGTGAGTGAGTGACTGAGTGACTGAGTGACTGACTGACTGAGTGAGTGAGTGACTGAGTGAGTGCCTGAGTGAGTGAGTGAGTGAGTGAGTGCCTGAGTGAGTGCCTGAGTGAGTGAGTGAGTGAGTGAGTGAGTGAGTGACTGAGTGACTGAGTGAGTGACTGAGTGAGTGACTGAGTGAGTGACTGAGTGACTGAGTGACTGAGTGAGTGCCTGAGTGACTGAGTGACTGAGTGAGTGCCTGAGTGAGTGCCTGAGTGAGTGCCTGAGTGACTGAGTGACTGAGTGACTGAGTGAGTGAGTGACTGAGTGAGTGACTGAGTGAGTGACTGACTGAGTGACTGAGTGACTGAGTGACTGAGTGAGTGACTGAGTGAGTGAGTGAGTGACTGAGTGAGTGACTGAGTGAGTGACTGAGTGACTGAGTGAGTGACTGAGTGACTGAGTGAGTGCCTGAGTGACTG